AGTAACACCTATGAGATTACCCTCTTAGCAAGAAGCTACACCCCAAGCTGAGATCGACTGTAACCTCTCTAAAGCCAATCATTAAATTTTGGGAAACAATAAAGTAATGGTCTGAATCATGACTGAGCTTCTCCTATCCATCCCCCAGAACTTCTTTCTCGATTTCGAATAAGGATTAAGTACTCCAACACGAGCTCATAAAAAGACAACCTGCTGTATGCTTCTCAGTTTAGAAATTTCCAACACTGTGTCCAGCTAGTTTCAATAAAAACATTATGCAAAGACTACTAGCAGAATGTATGATCTAGAGGAACATAGTGCTTTTAATTAAAGCTCAAATTAAGGACTTGATATGGGATAATTACTAGCAACATAACCAAGCACCAACAAAAACTAGCTAGTATGAATTTAAGAATGTGGTGAAAGATACTGAGAATTCGGAACATACCTTTGTCAAAGTTCTTACCAACTGAACCAACAATAAAGATATCCTCCATACTTCTAGAGTTCTAGTAAAATTCTCTCTTCACAGAAACACAACACCTGAGACAAAAGAAGAACTAAAGAAAATAAGAACATGGTACTCTTATGCAATATATCCATCAACAGCACCACACAAGCTTTCAACATAATATGCACGATCACAAAGGTGGAAAATTAAATCATGTGAATCAAGCTGTGTTAGCGGCACAGTGCGAGTACTTGTAACAAAGAAAAAATGACTCGAAACTATTTTCCTTCCTTTTCTTTCCTTTTCTCGTCAACCAAACAAAGTTTACTTAACCCTTTTATGTTGTCAGTAATAAGTTACATCATTATGTAATATTATTTATGTGTTTCTATAACAAATTAAATCATGGGTTGGTTTCTCAATGGAAAGGCTCTGATGCGTGAGAGATGTGTGTTTTTTCTTCTTTTCTTTTCCTTGTTTTTTACTTTGGTTTTTTCTCAGAGACCAAACAGGAAACATTCGGAAAGAGAAAAAGGAGATAGAAGAGAAGAAACCCACAAAGTTTGGTTCCAAAGAGAAACTTTCTGCGTAGAATCCTAACAGAACGTTGTGTGTATGGGAAACAAAAACCTCTTTACGAGATGATTGCCTGACTTGTCGTTTAGGATTTAATAAATTAATTAGCCGCTAACGAGACATATATAGTTGAATTTAATATTGGATTCTCATTGTCTGCTTAAACGGCGTTTTTGCGGCGTGAAAACGCAGTTTCTAGTATTGTGTTTGTCAGTGTGGTAGCGGTTGCTTTTCAAATAATTTTTTATACCGAAATGCATGATAATGATATTTTTTTATTTTTTAAAAATTATTTTTAACATCAGCACATCAAAATGATTTAAAACGTATAAACCATATTAAATTTTAATAAAAATAAAAAATAAAAAAATTTTGATTTTTTTAGGAACGCAGGTTCAACTGCGTTCCCAAACACTGCCTTAACCATGCTTTACAGGGGATTAATAATCATTTTTAAAAAAAATATAAAAAAAATATAAATAATATATTAAATATTTTTTAAAATATAAAAAATATATTAAATACCTAGGATCTAACAAGCCAGGTACAAAATGATTTCCTCTTTAGCATATAAAAAAAATCTCATCAATTTATTTCCTCTTTAGCATATAAAAAAATAAATAAGAGAAAATAAAAAAAAAATCTAAAAAGTCAAAAAATAAAATTAAAAATATATGGGTCTAGCTAAAAGCTAGATCCAATAGCCTTGGGTTTAGCTCGGACCCAATGTTATCAGGTCCTATGGGGTAGTAGGATCCAATGCTAAGAGAAAAGAAATTCAACCCAACCCAAACTCAAATAAAAAAAAATTATTTTCACCCAAATTTTATACAATATAAAAAAATTCTATAAATTTATTTTCTTTTTACTGTATTAAAAAAATAAATAAGAAAAAAGCCAACAGAACCCAATGTTATACCCAACTTTATTGGGCCCTGATAGTAGCAGGACTCAACGTGAAGAGAAAAGAAATTCAATCCAATCCAACCTCAAATGAAAAAAAAAATTATTATCATCTAATTTTTGTATAAAATAAAAAAATACCATCAATTTATTTCCTTGTTACCGTATAAAAAAATTAAATAAGAGAAAAGAAAAAAAATCTACAAAGACAAAAAAAATAAAATTGATAAAAAAAATAAATTAGAGAAAAGCTAGCAGGACTTCATGTTATTGGGCCCTGTTGGCAGTAGGACTTAATGTTAAGAGAAAAGAAATTCAACCCAATCCAATCTCAAATGAAAAAAACCAATTATAGTCATTCAACTTTCATACAATATAAAAAAAGTTCCATCAATTTATTTTCTCTTTACCATATAAAAAAAATTAAATGAGAGAAAAGCTAGCAAAACCCAACGCTATTAGGTCTTGGTGGCAGCAGGAACCAACATTAAGAAAAAAGAAATTCAACCCAACCCAAACTTAAATGAAAAAGAATTATTATCATCTAACTTTTATAATATATATAAAAAAATCCCATAAATTTATTTTCTCTTTACCGTATGAAAAAAAAATAAATAAGAGAAAAGCCTGCAGGACCCAACTTTATTGGATCCTGTTGGGTAATAGGACCCAACACAAAGAGAAGAGAAATTCTACCCAACCTAACCTCAAATGAAAAATAATTATTATCATCTAACTTTTATATAATATAAAAAAAGTTCCATCGATTTATTTTCTCTTTATTATATAAAAAATTAAATAAAAGAAAAAAAATCTACGGAGGCATAAAATATGAAATATTTGGGTTTGATTGAAAGTCGGGCCTAATAGCCTTGGGTCTGAACATTATTGGATTCTACTGGGTAGCAGGACCCAACACTAAGAAAAGAAATTCAACCTAACCCAACCTCAAATGAAAAATAAAAAATCCATTATCCAATTTTTGTACAATATAAAAAAATCTTATCAATTTATTTTCTCTTTACCGTATAAAAAAATTAAATAAGAGAAAAGCCAGCAGGACCCAACGCTATAGGGTCCTAGTGACAGCAAGACTCAACGTTAAAAGAAAAGAAATTCAAACCAACCCAACCTTAAATGAAAAAAATTATCATCACCTAATTTTTATATAATATAAAAAAAAGTCTCATTAATTTATTTATTTTTATCATATGAAAAAAATAAGAGAAAAGAGAAAAAATCTACAAAGGCATAAAATATGAAATATCAGGGTCTGGCTTAAACCCAATATTATTAGGTCCTCCTAGGTAGCAAGACCCAATACTTAGAGAAAAGAAATTCAACCTAACCCAACTTAAAATGAAAAAAATTATTATCATCTAATTTTTGTACAATATAAAAAAAAATTCCATAAATTTATTTCCTCTTTACTGTATTAAAGAAAATTAAATAAGACAAAAAAATATACAAAGACAAAAAAATAAAATAAGAGTAAAGCCAACAAGACCCAACGCTGAGAGAAAAGAAATTCAACCCAACCCAATCTTAAATGAAAAAAATTATCATCACCCAACTTTTATACAATATAAAAAAAGGTCTCATCAATTTATTTTTTATTGTATGAAAAAAAAATTCTACAAAAACAAAAATTAAAAATTAAAAATATTTAAATTTGGTTGAAATCCAGATTCAATAACATTGGGTTTGACTGTGAGTTAGACCCAATAATATTTGATACATAAAATAGAAAAATACAATGCCCTCTAGCAACAATTTTTAACTAAAAAACAACAAAGACAAAGCCCTTCGGGCACCAAAGTTATCTTTTTTGTAAATTCTGAATTTTTTCACTTTAGTCCTTAAAGTTGTATATTTGTGTTAAGCAGTCCTTGAACTTCATTTGTGTTATAATAAAGTCTCTTATTGTAATTAAAGGAGAAAGAAGGCATGTGAGATAGGAGGTTTTGGTTTTTTCAGTATCTAGGATTGATTAAAACGTGTTTTCAGATCAAAAATGAGTTTTTACATATCTTTAAGATGATTTTAATTTATTTTTAGATAAAAAAAAAGGTATAAATTGGGTCTGAATTCCAAAAATAGTGCACATTTTTTTTTCTGGTGACGATCGTCGTCAAAAGTTGTAGGTAGCAAGGCATAAAGTTGCAATGCCATTGCCCAAAATTTCCAGGCAGAAGACGAGTCATCTAACTCTTTTTTTTCTTTTTTTAAAGATTATCCCTTGTGTGTTCTGTTTCATCTGATAATTATCTATATATCTCCTACCCTTTCCAAAAACAAAACAAACCCAAACAAATCCCATCTATTTCAATCTATTCCAGATAAATCAGTTAATTTATTTTTTATTAATCATCTTAATCTCATTATCCATATTATAAATGTAACAAATTGACCCACGTTTGACTCTATTTTTTTTGTTTATTTTTTTAATTAGTATTTTTTTTAAAAAAAATCATCATTCACCATCTTCAAAATGAACATTTGGTTTCAATATTGATTATAAATTAAGCTTTATCATTTATTTCTGTTTATTTATAAATATGAAATTATCCAAGTGAAGGTGATGAGCATGTCAATAAAACATTCTCGGTTCTCTTCTAATATACAAGGAATTCATGACTCTACTTTTGTCTGCAAAGCACGTAGACACACCACACCATCTAATAAAACTGTGGGCTTGGGATTAAGCACATTTTCCTTCCTATCACAACAGAGTACCATGGGAGTGTTTCAACAAGAGCACCAGCAAAGAGGCACGGGCACAATTACCAAATAGACACAGGTTTTCGAGAGAGAACACAATATCATGCAGCACAGATAGTACGATCCAATCTAGGAAATATACCCCAGTTTTAGTGGACAACCCTACATAGATTCGTTAGAATAAGTATGGTACAAGAAAACTAAATCCACCAACATTTTGAGGAACATTGGATTGTGATGTTCAGAAAACATAGGGACATATTACTGAGTTTCACAGCTTCCTGATCAGACAAAATAGCCTCTGATCAAGCTCGAATTGAGAGACATATGAAGGATCTCCCTTCAACAACATCAGAAGCCCACCAAATGTAATAACCATCTCCCTGAGGCCAAAAAAATATCACAAGGTAATTAATGTCAGTTGGCCGTGATAAACAAGTAAATGAATAAAGATTGTCATCATAAATAGAATATCAAGAAAAATTATATAAATATAATATAATGAACATATTTGCAGAAATGCAAATTCTGAACATGGATGCATACGTTCGAGTTGCCCTCCTTGATCCTTCCTCTTGAATCTGATATAGCTTCCCATGCATGACATATTCATATTTGTCAGCAAGTGTTTTTCTCCCTCCCTGACACAAGGCATTTATAAATTCATGAACTAGGAAATGACTAATACAATAAAATAAGACAATGGAAAATTTTAATGACAAAACAAGATTACCTGAGTATAATAGCCTGTGTCAGGTGTCCCATCCAGATTCAGCGTATGGGCCAAAGCCATTGTGAATTTGTCATTCACGAACATGGGGTATACATCAGTGTTCACATCAAGGTGCATGAACATATCACAGTTCTGACTATGTGCTTCAATGCGGGTCACTACATCCAAATAAAAGAAGTTACAAATCTGCGCCTACGTTGAGCTCAAAAGAAGTCAAAACGTATTTTCCAAACATGCTATCAACAAGATTCATTCACAAGAGTCAAAGATGGAATAGTAGCTAGATCATGGCCACATTTGTATCAGTTCGATAACAGGATTGCAGTGTGTAGGAGTATCTCCTTAAAATGAAAACATGTCACTCAAAACATAATTCATTGCATAATAAAAGTTAAGAGAAAACGTTCCAACGTCCCAGATCCTCAGACCACACTACCAGGCAGTATTTTGTAGTAAACTCAGATCAACCACATCAAGTTCCCAACCAAATAGTTACGCACAATACAGCACAGAATTTTCTAAGCAAAAGCATACCGTTGTCACAAGGAAGTCTTTCTAACACGAGAACTGGATGAAGCATAGATATGATTATCTCATAATTGGGGATTGCCACTTAAAACAGACATGATATCCCCACTTGAATTCTTTGGTTTTGACGAGGAAAGCCTAAAAATAAATACAGAAGTTGGAACATTCTACTTTAAGAACCCAAGGACAATGGATCTATTACAATAATAGGATCATTCATCAGAATCATTCAAACAAAGTGTTTCACACTACACTTGACAAGAGCGTGGATATAATAAAGTAAATATGCAATCCAGTACAAGAAAAATCACAATTTTGGGGCAAGGTGAAGATTTTTCAGAAATCGAAAAGCGAAATGAACTCAAGTTGAAAAATCTTAGCCTTGGTTGATTCTTCTAGCCAATACATAAGCATTGAACAAGAAGCTATAGAAAGAGAATTAAGGGAGAATTAAAGACATAGATACCTTTGTCAAATTTTTTTCCGTCAGGATCTAGCTTGTCAACAACAAAAATATCTTCAAACATGATAATGTTTGAGCTTGACATCCTTCCTGCAAAAACTACATACATAGCAGCGGCATATTAGAAACAAAAGGTTCAATATTTTAAATTGCTTAAAAAGAAAATCAAGAAAATAACTAGAGCCCAGATCATAAAATCAGAAACCCAAGAAAGATTTCCTGTTTTGACATAAACTCAAGCACATCAAATAGGAGAAAGAAAGGGAGGGCGAGGGTTTCTTACAATTGTTAGAGAGCTTGGAAGTTTTTCGAGTGAGGCAACAGCAGCAAACTCTTGAGAGATTAAGACAAGAGGTAATATAATACTTAAACGGAAGGGAACCGAAGAAGTGCAAGAGAAACAATCGGACCGGCCCATGTTCAATGTAAAATCCGGCCCAATATGGATCGAGCCCATATTATTCATTTTGTAACCATTTTCAAGAAACTTTTTATTTGCAATATACTTTGACTAAATTTTTTGATTTCTTTTTTTTTTTTAAAAAAAAAAGCATTGAGAAGGAAGCATCGAAATCAGACACGACATTGTCAAATAATTGGCCAAACCAGTCAGATAATTATTAGCAAGAACCCGCTTTGAACCACCACGCCGTGGCTATCAATCCACGCCAACCCAGCCGAGCCAATACCACCAATTCTCAAAGAATACTATGCTACATCCCTCCCAGGCTCAAATATCAATCATCCTGTTAAGCAAAGTCAACAAAAACAAGGCATTAATATCAAACAGTAGAACTTAATCACTTTAACAACCGAAAAAACATGGATAACAATGATTAAATCTGGCATTCAAATAGAAAATAAATAAATTGAATCTCCCGAGATTGGACTTATAAGTTGTTATTTAGCTCAATTTTTTATTCTGCTTTAATTTCCTTAATGCTTTTGAATTTTTAAATGTTTTTCAATAAATATAGGTTTTTTTTTACCTATTTAAAGGTGTTGTAAATTAATCTCTAAAGAGATAAATTTCATTAGCTTTATTTTTAGATAAATAAATTGTGAATTTAGAATTTGGATTTACAATCATTTTCACTTATTAAATTTATTGTGTTTTTTATGTTGTTATTGTTCATGTAGCTTCCATTTATATCAATTGATATAAGAGTCCAGTAATCCTAGATTTATATTGCTTATTATGTGCTTTAATTTTATGGATAATTTGTTTAATTTTATGGATAATTTGTTGCTTGTTGTGTGTTGTTGACAATTATGGTAGGAAAAGGTTGTGAAGTAAGGCCTAACCAAGGAAGGAATGAGAAGGCTTTCCTTCAAAAGAAAAACATCCAAGATCTTATCACGAAGAACATACAAATGTAGATTACAGAATTAACTCATAAGTTAGAAAAGAAAAAGGTATAAGAACAAAACCAGGATAGTAACTATGGGTCTTTAGCCACTATTAAAATCTAAAGACTTGATCAGAGAAGACAATCTCGTGATTAGAAAGAGATCAGACCTAAGAATTTTGATTTTTGTATCAAAATTCCTAATTTTTATGGAACTTTACAAGCAAAGAAGTTCATAAACTGGTTGAATAAAGCTGAGAGGATTTTTTTAGTACAGAGAGGTTTCTGAGTGTACACTAGTTAAATTAATCACAATCAGACTAAAGAATCAAGCATTTTCCTACTAGGAATAGTTAAAGAAGATGTAAGAAAAGTTAAAGGAAAGTAAGAAATTAATGATTAAACAAGATGAAAAAGAAAATGAGAAACTATTTCCTCTATTTTTGGCTATTTCCAAACCATATACTGAGGCTTCACATATTGAAACAAGAGGATAATTTTGTCAATAATTACACTATTGATTTCTACTAGTTAGTACCTTATAATGATTTAGTATAAATGGAAGAGTATTTAGTGAAGGAATATTTCAGTAGTTTACAGTAGTCCATCTAGGATGTATTGTGTCTCTTAATCTCTATGAATAGTTGATAAGACATATTGAAGGGCTTTGTTAGTAGAGAAGCAGCAAGTTGTTAAAATAAGTTTTTAGGCCAATTATAACAGTAGAGGGGGCATAATAATTATCAAAAAGCTAAAACCATATAACCTAGGTTAACCCAACAAAATCAATAAAAGATGGGTCAAGGTTTTATCTTTGAGATTTATTCCTTTAAATATGGTGAACTAGAGCACCAATTAGCAAGTGTATCAAAGTGGAGAGTCATAAAAAGAAAAAAAAACCTATTAATAAAAAAAATTATGAATGTGACTAATCCTATACATGATGATAACTCAGGTAGTAATTACGATATTTTGCATAGAGATAATGATACTATATTTATTATTAGAAAGATTTTGTTAATGTCCAAAGGTGATTTAGAAAAAGGGTTGATGGTATATTAGTATTTTTTCATTCCATGTGCACTATTAAAAAAAAGGTTTGCAACCTGATTTTAAACATAGTAGCTATGAGAATGTAGTATTCACAAAGATAATGAAGAAATTCCCAGTGATAATTGAGAATCATCCTAAGCCTTATAAACTAATGTGACTTAATAGTGACATTGAGGTAATTGTTAACAAATAACATTTTGTTTTCTTTTTTATGAGATAAAAATATTTTGATAGTGCTTAGTATGATGTGGTATCTATGGATACATACAATATATTATTGAAAATGTCATTGTAGTTTAATAGAAGTGTGACATATAATGGTAGAAAATACACACACATTAAAATATATATAAAAAAAAATATATAGTGGTGACACCTATAAGAGAGAAGGTGAAGATGAAAATTAAAAAAGAAAAGAGTTTACTATCCTTATCATATTTATAAAGGAGATAAAGGGTGAATGATTAATGTACACCCTAGTTTCGAGGAAGTACAAACTATATTAATAGAACTTGCAAATTTGATATCAAAAGATTTACCTTAGGGTTTTCCTCCCATGCTAGATATTAAGCATTATATTGATTTGATTTTGGGTACTAGTCTTCCAAATAGACCAACTCACAAACTTAACCCTAAAAAAGCTAAAAAATCACAAAAATGTGTTGTGGAATAGTTAGATGAGGGGTATTTTTAAGAAAGTATGAACTCATGTATAGTCCTAGCTCTTATAGTTCCTAAAAAGAATGGTTTATAGTGTGTGATGGATACACAAACCATTAATTGCATTATATAAGTTTCTGATACCATGATTAAATGACATGTTGATTAATTAGCAAATTCAAGAGTGTTATGCAAGACTGATCTCATGAGTGGCTATCATTAAATTATAATCAAAATATAGGATAAATATAAAACAACATTTAAAACAAGACATAGATTATGTAAGTGGATAGTGATGTCATTTCTTTTATCTAATGCTTCTAGTATTTTTAAGAGTTTCATGCATCAAGTATAGAGACTATTTATGAGAAATTTATTATGATTTATTTTGATGATATTTTGATTTATAGTTCTAATTTGAAATCTCATTTGAAACCGCTATGGATTGTTTTTTAAACTTTAAAGAATAAGTATACATATGTGAATTTCACTAGTACTATCATTTTTCTAGTTTCTATTAGGTCTATTGATGACGTTCATTTTCAATCCAGTGTACCTATAATTGTGAATTGGCCAACCCCAATAAGTGTTCATGACGTCTAAAATTTTCACGAACTTGCATCTTTTTATAAGCAATTAATTTGAAACTTCAGTTTTCTTATTGAATTTATTATGAGGTGTCTAAATGGAGCACCTTCTAGTAAAAAAATAAGGTTGGATCCACCTTTTAATTATTAAAACAAAAGATGATTGAAGGTCCTGTGTTGGCACTTCTAGATTTTAAGAAATCATGAGGTAAATTATAATGCATATTGGGTAAGTATTGAAGGAGTTCTTAGCTAGGATGAGCAGCCAATTGATTTTTTAATGAAAAGTAATTTTCTAGATAAAAGAGGAACTATTTCACTTATGATATAAAGTGATATGTTATTGTTTAAAATCTCAAGCTTTACATTATCTAAACTTATAGAAAAACTTTGTTACAATTATAAATCATGAAGCTCTGAAAATATATAAATAAAAAACATAAATTAAGTTATTGGCATGAAAAATGGGTGTTGTTTTTACCAGAAATCACTTTTTTTCACTAAAGTATCAATCAAGCAACTTAAACAAAGTGGTTGATGCTATTAGTAGACTAATTGTTCTATTATGTGTATCTAGATGACAAGGTTTAATATTCAAAAATTAATATCCCTATCACATGAACTTCAATTCCTTCAGTCTTCAACAACTCTTCACCAAAAAAATATTCTCTAACTATTTAGTCTAGGCCTAAATCGTGAGAATTTTCAGCGAAAATTTCACCCAAAACTATACTAGACATGTTTTTCTATGTATTCTTTTGGTTCCATGGACTAACATCATGATATTTTCATACATATTTTTCCTATGCGCGCCACTTTTCCTCTGCAAGTATCCTTTCTATACTAACAATTGGATAGTGAAGAATTTCATTTTCGTATGCGTGACTATCATATATGAACCACCAGTAGGACATTGAAGAGCTGAAGTTGACCTAAAGATTTAGGAATGCTAGCTGCGACATGGCTCACTTTTAACACACATCTTGAAGTCATTCTTCTAAAAAAATGAATAAGAAAATGGTACTGATCTGCTAGTCAGGTTAGAACGCACGAGTTAAATAAAATGAGCTGGCCATGTTTTTATTCTGGGTTCATACTTTTATAATCTGCATCTCTTCTTATCAATTTTATTGTATTTATGTTCCACATGCATGTGAATCAGCTCCATGTATATATATAATATGTAGATAACCAATTAATATCATCTGTTTTCACTTTTAGTTTGATTATCATAAATTTTAATTAATGTTATTAAAAACTTACATGGTTATTAATTTTAAAATCTAAAAAAATTAATTAAGATTCGCCGGAACTTCACTTACGAGTAAAATAAAAAAAAATCAATCAAATTGAAAAACAAAAAAGTAAATCAATGGAGAAATACAGGACATTAACTAGAATGTAAACGTACAAGGAAGACTCCAATTAGCTCCTTCTTTTAAAGTGAAAATCACAAAGAAAAAGTGGGAAAAAAAAATGTGGAAACACCTTCAAATTAACATTTGCTCAAGAAAGAATTCCCATGCAAACCAAACCGAGCCCAACAACAGAGCTGTTAAGCTGATTCTCAATTTGGTTGAAAGTTTGAGTCTTGTTCAGAAGGCGAATGAGTGTGGCGAACTGTCCACCCTTTACAAGAACTGCGGTGAAGTTAACCGGACCGGAGGGCATCGGGGCGGGTGCTGTCGGGGTTTGAGCTTGGGCATTGAGGGAGAGGGAGAGGAG